AGACCTGCACCTTATTTGTACCTAGACTATTACTGTCATACAAAGAAATCAATAACTCATTACAGGGCAAGAAGCAAAGATCGATAGATATTGTGCATCAGAAATTCTCATACAGCGCTGACAGACAAGTCAATTAAGTACCAATTTACTAAAACTTATGCAGTTGTGCTTTTAACTGGAGCGGTCCGAGGTTACACGCACACATCCTCGCATGTTTCACCATTTATGTGAGGACACTCGTGCTTAGCAAAGCCTTAAGGGACATTTCACCTCAAAATAAGATACATCAATAGTTTTATTTATCCATCTAAATCTATTTGACCTCAGCTGTAGACATATCTACTTTCTCATCTTGCTATGATACACAGATTTTATTATCATATGCAAAATTTGTTTCCTCCAGCTCCTCCTACACGACCAGTACTTGAGCAACTAAAGTTGGCACACAGGTACATCCTAGGAAGGTTCTTATCTATATCACATGACAGCCACCTAGTAATGGGTTAAAACAACATGTTGTTTTTTTTGTTTGTTTTTAGCATTTAACACCTCATAAAAGCATCAAATCTTATTATTTCATAACAATAGCATCTGATTTATATCCAAAAAGTTTCAGTTGTTTATGATATAGTATAGATTGCCTGGCAATCAACTAGCAACAGGCTTTTAAACTGACCTGATTTTAGCCTTTACACACCTGTAACACAGCAAACAATCCTACAGCACAGGCATGTGCTAGTTAATATAACGAAACTAAAAGGCAGTTTTACCTTGTGAGAAGATTGATGTAGGATTTATATTCTGTCTATTTAACCAAGCCTATCAGCTGTATCACTGGATCTACCTGTAATGAGAAGTTTCTACTCATAACAGTGTGACAGCATGTAAACATTAACAGCAGCCTCATCAGCTCTGTTGTAAACTTGACTAGCTGCAATCTTCGTGTGGGCAGAAAGAAACTAACTCCTACACAAACCTGCTCACACCAAAGTACCAGGGTCAAACGTTCTGCTATTTCTTTGATTTCAAATGCATTGTTTGTGTTTGTGGTCATTATGTTCAAGAGAATGCATAGATGCTTCTAATCGTCACCCTCACCAGAGCAAAAACATGTACATTTTGGGGGTAACTGTCCCTTTAAAGTACCCTTTAGTTGTTAGGGTCGTTCCAAATGTCCTCACATCAATGGTTTAAAACCAGTATTAGTAAACACACACACACACACACACACGCACACGCACACAGCTTCACATTTCTTGGCAGGTATGGGGCTTCTGCAGAGCTCATGCAGGGCTCTTGTAGTGATCTACACTGCAGCTCCACCGAGCCTCTCTCTAGGGTTATTACTATTATGGTAACTGATAGTGTTAAGCAACAAGGAAAAAGTACACTAAGCAGAATTGTTATATAACTTTGTGAACACGGACAAATGTAAACAAAAGAAAACTTGGCACACACGTTGTGAAGTGCAATCTCAGTGTCCGGATGGGAAAACGGCACGTGTACAGACCAGAGCTGCTGATATTACTCTCCATAACAAACTCAGTTCCTGCAGCTTGAATTTTGCAACATTTGTGGCCGTTTTCTCCATCCTAACTGCGAGTAACTCATCGATGAACATAAATAATAGAGTAAGCGGTGAGAAAGAGCAGTCCTTATAAAACATGAACAAAAACAGTTGTACGCTGGCGATGGAGGAGACAGAATGGGAGCAGGTTGTTGCATCTCTGAGTTTGTAGATGTTCGGGCTGGTGTCAGACCAGTCTAGGCTGATGATGGTGAACTGGAGCAGAGTTTATTCAGGGCCTTTGCTTCCAGAGGCTCTTACACAGCTCACACTTTTACCGGGTGCATCTCCACAGTATCAGCAGAGGATCGTCACTTTTTAAAAGCAGACGTGACAAATACGTACATTTAAGAACTGAAAAAAGCGAAAACGCTTCTGCCAAAACTGCACTGAAATAAGCATTTATGGAAAACCACTTTGTTTCTATGACCCAAATATGGAGATTTATGAAAAGTTGCTTATGTTTAATGTAGCTATAAAATATAAAAGCAGATTATATTTGATTTCACAGCTCTCCCAAGGTTGATGAAACCCTTGCTCTTACAGCGCTGCAGTTTTCATGGTTCGAGGGTTTCAGACTTCCTACTTTGGAGGAAAACAGAACAGTGCAAACCCTGTCAGGTAAAAATCTTCCTTCAATATCTGCCTTTGCAAAATTCTACGGTAATCAACTCTGGGTGTTATGTACCATTAGGATGAAATGCTTCACCTCTCTTCTTTACTACTGAAAATCACAAGGTCAGACTTTGAAAAAAGCCACTTTCAGACATGCACTTCTTTCCATTTACCGCACGGCATTTGAATGCATCGGTTTACATCCAAATGAGCACTGCAGTAACTTTTCTATGTTGTGACTGCAATCCTACTAGGGTGGACCGAGTAACATTTACACATCACTTAACATAGCAGAGGGAAAAAGAGGACAGGGCTCGCCAAGACGCGAGGTAATCTGAGGAATGCAATGTGGAGGGCGATGGCTCAGTACAAGATCTCTTTTTTTACTCAGTGATGTTTCAGCATTGGCAGAGTGTGTTTAAGTCACTAAAACTCTCCAATCCTCCATGTATTGCAAAGATTGCATCACTTTGTGGGTGCGTCTGAGGGAAGCCATAATGTAAATCTGACTCATGTCTGAATGAGGAGATAAAAAAGTCTGAAAAGTGCTCATTTTTATGGCACCAGCAACAGAAGGACTTTTATATGAATGGTGTCAATGGCTAACAGCACAGGTGGTTTGCTCTGCACATAGCACCTTTAAGAGGTTTCCAATGCTGGACTGATGGTGAAAAACAAAGAAAGTTCAACTATAGTGTGTTTGCCTCCATGTTGCTCTGATCCAGTCTCTGCTGTTAGATCAGTTAAACTGGAGGGAACGAGACTGTGGAGATGCACCCCAGCTCCTGCTGTGGCTACTTGCTGACCAGTTTTGCCAGACTCTCTCTCAGGTTGTTCAGGTCACCGATTTTGATGTCCAGAACGTCAATGATCCGTCGTACCTCGACCTCCGCGTGCGCCTGCTCCTCCCGGTTGGAGGCCAGGGTTTTTTCGGAGCTTTGAACGCGATCCTCCAGCTCCACATTTCGTCTCTCCAGATCCTGCAGAAGCACAGTTATTAATTCAGGTTTTCATTTTTCACTTTTCATTTAACTCAGTAATTGCTACCAAAAGTGCATCTTTGCCCACATTCTTATCCACAAAATGCCATAAATGTTAGTTTCTCCAGAATATGTTGACAAGATTGACAAATTATGTTTTGGGAAAAACCAGATCACAATTAACAGAGTAGAAAAAGTACAGGCCTTTATGCCTTTATGTTGTGGAATAACAGATGTATTCCAGGGAGATACTGCGGCTGCCGACTGCTATAAAATTTGCTAAAAAACTCCTCTCGGAGTAATTCAGTTTAAACTGTTTATAATCCAAATTCAAATCTGCAGTTTCCTGCTTTATGGGGTAATTCTGTATGCGAAAAAGTACAGATCTTTATGGAATAAATCCAAGGACAGCAAAGGTCAAATATGAATGCAGATAATTCACAACTGACAACCCCGGTAAGAATGATAGAGGACCTAATAAAAGCTATGCAATATGCATCAAGTCTCATCTCAAGCATTAAGAAGGAAATTCAATCCAATTTGTTTTCTCCTTGAAGCCCTCAGTTCACCTTTGTAGATTCTTTGCCACACTTACTCTTGTCTGAACTGTACGGTCTCTTTTATAGCTGTCCCTGATTATTCATATGCCCTGGTTTGGGTAACAGCAAAAAGGACATTTTTATTTATCAGATCATGAAAACTGTCAACTAAAAAGAAATCCTTTTTTAGGACTAGAGTGCTTTAGGTCAGTGTCATGCACTAACCTCTAAAGGTTATGCATAAGTATTTTAACAGTTTGTTAAAGAAAAAAAAATCCCTTTTATGTCTGGTTGTTGTGGAAAATCACAACCGGTCAGATAGCGGCACCAATAATTTTCCATTTTGAAGACTTTGACACACATCAGTCAGCCTGGTGAGCATTTTCATTGCTTATCAGGTTGACGGATGTCACACTTGCAATCTAATATAGGGATCCATTATATTAACTGTACACTAATCTGCTGATGACTTTCTAGAACGAGTAGTTACTTATTAGCCAACATACCATCAGAAAACTGACAACTATAAAAGCATATTCTACCGACCTAAAAAGTGACATCATCAAATGTGATCTTTTGTACAGCAAAGAGTAAAAAGGTCCTAAAATGTTCATTTTACTACAGCGTGAGGAAGAAAATCAGCAACTTCAGAACTGATAGTCGTTGAGCAATAAAAATGTGTGACATTTTCCATAAATGTGTTATTTGTGCAGCACGGCAAAGTTGTCCAATTTGATGAGTCAGTCACAAAATTGCAGCTTACCTTGAGTCTCTGCATGGCCTCCTCCCTCTCCCTTTCTAGCTCTCCAACATCTGTTTTCTTGCTCTGTAGATTGTGAATTTCCTGAAAACACAGTAACTCCAAATAATTACAAAACCATCTTTCCAATTCGTGTACATCAATGTCCCAAGGACAAGCGGCATTCCTCGTTAATTTTATAAAGGGGGTCAGTGATAAGATTTGGGACGCCTTCATCTTCTTGGGAAGGAGGGAGGGAAACATGCCACTGTGACCTTGCATGAATCCGGCTGCCAAAAGTGGACTGTGTTTAAACGACGGGACAGATGTGGTTATGTTAATGAAGCTGGCAGAGAGCAGCAGGCTGCTTTCAAAGGAGCATTTTGCTTTTATTTATCCTGAGGAAACGTGTCTTGGCTCAGCGTGTCCTGTCTGCATTAACGGACATTGACTTTACCCACAGAAACATGCACCGTTTGACAAGATGATGTGTGTTTTAGAAAAGTTACAGATGCCGTCAGAAATCTGTCATTCAGCACGGAGGCGGCGGCTCGGAACATCTACATCTCGAGTCTCGGCGTTGCTCGGTCGTGTTCTGTAAGACTGTGACATTTTATCAAAGCACTCTTCAGCGTGATCAAAGCGACAGACACGACAGAGCCTGAAAGCTGAATCCAGATCTTAGCAGACAAACAAATGAAAAAAGCCAGTGAACACATTCTTCTGTCGTTGTCTGCACGAACTCTGCAGCATTTTATCAAGTAGTTACCGTTTACACAAGTACAAGAAAATATTTCATTTAACGCGTTCAAGATGATTTAGAGAACAGATATGACACTTACTCTTTCAGAGTTTTTATGGCATAATTGAATATCAGAAGAAGATTCAGGCTCACACATCCAAAAGACTGCTGGCAGTACATAATGTATGCTCTTGTAAATTAAGCTAGTGGTATACACTGAGCTTCCCTTTAAGGTGGGAAATAGATTTGGACAGTGTGCACTGCTGAGAGGAAATTTGGTGTCTTGCCTGGTCTTTGGCTCGCAGCAGGGCTTCCAACTCCTCCAGTGACCGGCTCAGCTCCTCTTTACCAGGCTGTCCAGCAGAAGGACGCCCCAGCTGGGCTTCAAGCTCGGCCACCTGGAACACACACAAACACACAATGAATAACATTAAAAACAACATTATAAGATAAGAAAAGCAAGACTACCATCTAAATCCACCTTCTAAAGGCTTCCATCCAAGGTGAGTTTTGAGAGATATCACAAATCTTAAAAAGACGGGGGCCTTTTAAATGTTGGAAGAGAAATCCAGAAATAGGAAGCGGCGACTGTCACTCCATGTTTAGCTTTTCTAATCGAAAGAGAAGCATGGACGGGAACATGGGATCACAGATTCAGGCTTTTAATGTAACTCAGGCAGAACTAGTGCGATGCGAAATATTATACTTAATATACTGTAAACAGTAATCGAGCATGTATCAAACTGTGCAAAAAGAAGTCTCATTTGTAACCAGCATAGTTTTGAATCTGACTGATGGAAATCGACAGCAAACCAGAAGTATAGAAGCCAGGCAATTTCAATCTCATTTCCTGAGACGGTCTGATTTAGTTTTAGCTAAATCTAATTTAGTCTTGAAGCTAATCAGTCCAGTTTTCATGTTATTATGTTTTCACATAATCTTTCTCATAGACAGATATGACAAACAAGAATCAGCCTTACAAAAATACCTAAGAATCCAAAGTATAATCCTAACGTGTGATATAATTTTCACAATGCACAGAATTAATTGCTATTAATGCTATTAATGGAAACCAACAAGACCACGGCCTATGCACAAACACTTTACTGTCCATCTAACATGTGCAGACACACAGCAAGTGAAGTGATTTTCACAGCTAATAAAAGTCCATTTAGTGAAGACTCATACAATTATCATGCACCACACTGCTGTGCAATTTACCAATGAATCAAGGACATTTTCTTTATTCATTGCCTCTCCCCTGACTCTGCTCCCCACCACACACACACACTTAAAATGCTTCTGTGGAAAAAAGCTTTGCTGCCAATGGGCACAGCACTGAAGCCTCTCGCCTTGGAGACTTTTTTTTTTAGCTGTTCGAGGGGGTTTGACCTTTTGAAAGATTTTGATGAAAGATATTTTCCCAATCTGACCCACTTCCATGCGTTTAGCATATTAATGAAAAAGTCAAAGACCGTCAAGATTTGACAGACGGTTTGACGAAACAAGGACAAACTGTGCAGCATTTGAAGTCTGAACACGATGAGATTGAGAGTCTGTGATTCGGCCGTCTTTTAGGCCTTTGTAGTTTAACAGACAGACCGAGGCACAAACAGTGACAGGGCTAGAGGTCACGATAACATATTTAATTTTGCTCCCCATTTGATTAAAGGAATAGCATTTGATAACGAGACACTTGAGCAATAACGAAAGGTTACCGTTTTACTCGAGATCACTTGACCATCTTAATCACTTTGAACAGCCTTTTGTATTGTATTAAACTAAACGAGTGCATGCCAATGGGGACTAAAACATGTGACTAGACTACAGCTTCTATTTGATAATTACTTAAAATGAAATGCATCACACAAAATTCTTCCAGTGAAACAATCAGCTCAGTGATTTTATTTAACATTTTGTGCAACCATGCAAGAAAATCTCTGGTTCCAGTTGTTTAAATGTGATTATTTACTCTTTACTGTTCTATGACAATAAATGTATCTGGGGGTTGACTGTTGATGGGAAATAAGAAATAGGAAGATGTCCCCTACATACTTAAGATTTTTGATAAATTATGGCTTCAGTGTGAAAGTTCCTAAATAATACTAGTTTGTGCTTTAGAGTCCCATTTACGATGCATAATAGAGCAGAGCTCAAACAAATCTGAGAAAAAGAAATAGCCGTGGGATTCAAGCAAGCCCTTGATCTTCTACTTTCGGTTTATTTTAATGCCGGTGCTGCAGAAATGGCCGACTTTTCATTTTCTCTCCTTTAAGCGTGTCCTCTGCATTTTAACAGGTAATTTCAAAGTGGCATTTTAAAGATGCCAAGGTATGCTACTCCAGCCAAGCCGAGCTTCACAAAAACCAATGCAGGCTGGGGATGGGGGATGGGGGCTTTGGTTTAACCTGGTCTGTAAGTGACAGCCACCGTCCCCAGAGGCAGTAGCTCCATCTCTCTGAACTCCACACAAATAGTGTAGCATGAGAAAAAGCCTGTAAGAACTGTGGTATCTGTAATATTCCCACTAAAGTTTAAGTGTTTTAAATAACCGAGACGCATTTGCTTACAACCAGCAATAGAGCGCTGACATAAACTTTCTGGTTTATGTGTGGTTAATTTGATTAATTGTTAAATATTTATATGGTATGTGCCAATGAAACTCAAACTAGATTGGCAGAAGAACAAAATACACTAAAATGGAAAAATATACTATCAAAAAGAACCATTCAAATATCCTTAAATGCATACAAATTGCTGTCAGCCTCTCTGTGGTGGACAAACACAAACATGGCTGAAGCTGCTCAGAGTGTGACGAGGGAGGAGAAAGCCAGCCATCCTCTCTCCTTCTACTCCTGCAGTGATTTATCTTCTTCCACTAACTGGGGCACAGAGGGGGGAGGAGGTGGGCAGTATAGGGTGTCCTACCCTCACCCCCCTCCAGGAAAAAAAAAGGAGAAAAAAAACAAAACCCTGCCACCCTGTTACCAAACCCTGGAGGCCTGCTCTACTTCCAGCCACCTGGTTGACTTTGCTACAGTGTGTGTGTGTGTGTGTGTGTGTGTGTGTGTGTGTTTTGGGGGGAGGTGTGTAACTTTCACCTGCACTCAGAAATAGATGAATTGAAGATAATAAAAAAAATGCAATCTGAAAAGAGGCAGTACTGTAAAGGTTATAGAGCAGACTGGGTTGCAGCAGCAGCATTTAATTCTGTTGCAATAAAGTTGTGTTGTTAAGCTCGACCAAGGACAGAATTTCCTCTCCCTAAATTAAAGATGAAATGTCTGCATTCTGGCCCTGCAACTATCACGGGAGCCCGTCAACAGAAAATATCCCAGGGAGGGGGGGCTGGATGAAAAATGCATCTGCAGTTTGGAGCAGGCCTTGTAGGGATTTCAATGTGATACTGACACATTTGCATAAATGAGTAAAACAAAGTTTTATAGAAGAAACTCGATAGATGCATTTGTGCTAATTTAGGTTAACATCATACCCATAAATATAATTTCTAAACAATTATCAACAACAACAACAATGCACAATGGGCTGCATATTCAGTTTACAAGTCCCCCATAGTGCTTACTGTAAATCACACACTGTAGCATACAGCGCACGAGCATAAAACAGGACACTTACTGTGTTTAGGTTTTTTGGACATTGGCTTTTCAGTCCAGCCTAAAAAAAACAAGTCCGCTGTGGTCTTATTGGAAGGTGAAGAAGCTGTTCTTAAGGAAGGAAAATTAGGAGAAATGCTAAGATGTGCCAAAATACACAAGAAATGAACTGAAAAAAATCAGTGGCAACAGGAGTGACGAATCCAAATGTGAGAGCTTTGGTTCAAATCATTATTAATATGTACAGAAGAGGTCAGGGGAGAGCTACAAAGAGCCCAAACACACTGCAAGTGCAGTTATACAGCCTCCCCAGAGCCGGGATCTCAACAGTATTGACGCTGCGTTGAACATGCGTGGGATCATGTTGACAGGAAACAGAACAAGAGGCAGCCAACATCCAAAGAAGAGCTTTGAATGTCCTTCGAGAAGCCTGGAGAACTAGTCCTGAAGACTACTTACAGAAATGATAAGACTTCCTTAAGAAGTGCAAACTCATTAACGTTGTGATTTACTCATTTACTATATTTCCATGTATGTTTGGACATATTTCCATGAACTGCTACACTTACTTCCCATTTTCCTAGAGAAATATAAACAAATGAGGAATGGCTTAAGACTTTGATATGACACTGTACTTTCTTTTAGATCAATAAGTCTCATTGGTCGTCTCATTACCGTCTTTCATAAAGTGACTTCAAATAAAATTCTGTATTAACAAGTCAATCAGGCCCTTATTGTTTTTCCTAAGACTGTGAAAGCATCTTCAGTGTCATCTTATGTCATCTCATAATGTGAATTTCTTCAAACACTGACTGAAAAAGACTCAACATAAGCCTACTGTAATAACTCCTCTGTGCACTACATAAGGTCACCTGGTCTCGGAGGCGATCGGTCTCTTCCTGGTATTCAGCCAGCTGCTTCTTCCACTGTTCCACGCTGCTGTTAGCTTCCTGCAGTGCTGCCACCAGCTTGGCATTGCTGTCTTGAAGAGTGAAGAGTTCAGCTTCCAAGTTGATCTCACACATAGACCTGAGGACAAGTTCGCCACACACAGACTGCGTTAATTCTCCTGAAGAACTGGTACTCTGATTCTCTTTGTTCACCTGAACCAAATCAATCGAATGAACCAATCACAACCTTTAAATGATGCTACTTTAAACAGATAATGTTTGACACTGTTGGAACGAAACCTTGGAAAGGAGAAAGCAGAGGATAAAGAGGTAATAGAGTGAAACATTTCTATTATCCTGCAGTAGCTGTGTGATGAAGTTTATTGATATTTAATGAATTTAAGGAGACAGACGAGTTCTGCAAATTATGAACGTTATTATGACTTTATATTTAATGTCTTTTTTCGTCAGTCATGTCTTTCAAGTTCTGGACAAGTGCTACTACAGTGAGCTTTTTTTTTT